TAGGTAGCGTGATATAGGTCTTATCACTGGCTGATAATGGTCTATATGTACTTGAATTAAATTTATGGTACATGAGTACACAAATCTTTAAGTCTCTCCATTTGTTAATGACAGTGGTAATGGTTCTTAATGCCACTGTTGACTGCTATTTACTTTACATGGGTCAAATGTTATTCTGTTATAGTGTATTAAATATTTTATTACACTATTTGGTTCAGAATATATTTTCCCTGTTTAACCCCTCTAAAAATTATGTGCGTCTTAAGATCCGGAGCGTCTTATGGAGCAAAAAATACGGTACATAAGCATGTGTATGTGCACCTCTTACACAATTTTGTTGTTGTTTGAACTTATATGCCACTCCCTAGTGCTAGAGCACTTTCTGGATGGTTTAAAACATAATTATGTAAACAACGACTTAAACAACCATTTTTCCCCAGCGAGCTTGGATGCTCCACTGACCTCAGAAGGATGGAAAGCTGGGTCAACCTTGAGCTAGCTACCTGGCTCCATTTTCTCAATTAGGCAATAAAAAGCCACCACTATAATTTTACTGGATGTCCCCTTTCTCCCCTTGCTTAATTTATGTAGCTTACTTCATTTGTGACATTGGGCTCCCTTTCCTTCAAACAGTCCTTCTTTAGTATATCATAGTGAAATATATCCTCACATCAGTGAGTGTAGTCCTCTAAGCTTCCTGGAGCCACTACCACTGCAGCAGAGTGGAAACAGTAATGGAGTTCTCTGACAGTGGCCAGATTGTCTTCTAGGACCTGGTTCTCACTGTGAACCCTGTAGCTCCTGGTGTGGACAGCTCTACAAGGTGCAATCCTCGATTTCACCTGAGACCTCCATGGACTACACCCATCCATTTTTCAGAAATGGAAGGAACTAGATATATTTTTAAAGCTTCTTTGAGCCTCAAAAAGGTAGGTGAGGCATTTGTTTTACATTAAATGGGATAGTTATGGCCCACCAAGGCTTCTAAGCATAGAATTGGCCACTTGAACATTCCTCCAGATAAAACCAGTATGGGAATATCAAGGGGTTCCAGGGCAGCCTGGAAGCTGTATTTCACCCACCCCATCCTAAAACATTTTCTCTACAAGTGGATAGATGCTTTTTAAGTAAGATAAAGGATGAGAGTCTGGGGAGAATGTCACTGGGTATTACATTTGGCAACATCATGAAAAACCCAACAGTCCTGTATATTTTTCAGTTGCTGGAGCAAGGTTTTTGTGCTAGTTATGGTGGGAGTGCTACCATTTTCTTCATGGTGTTGAACTTCTTGCCATTGACTGAGAGTCTTGGATTGTGGCATCCCTGCTGTAGCAGCTTCCATTTGCAGGTGAAATCAAGCAGAAGCAGTAAGGCAATTCTGCACTGGTGTGTTTATTTGCTATTTCCCAATGGGCTTGAATTCGCTACATTTCTAGTTTGCAGTTTTGTGGAAATGCAGCTGTAATGTTTTTTAGTGGTTCAGGATGGCCAGCAAGTGCATCTTCACTACATTTTATGGCTGAAATCCTGTTGGTGCAGCTCTGTGCAAAGTAAGACTACAGTCGTGCCCCGCTTTACGATTGCCCCACATTACGACGAATCTGCTTTACGACGATCTTTTTGCGATCGCAAGACGATGGTCTAAATGGGGGAATTTCGCTTAGCAATGATCAGTTCCCTGCTTTGGGAACCGATTTTCACTTTACGACAATCAAAAACAGCTGATCGTTGGGTTTTCAAAATGGCCACCGGGTGCTTAAAATGGCTTCCCGCTGTGCTTAGGGACGGATTCCTCGCTATACAGGCAGTAAAAATGGCTGCCGAATGGAGGATCTTCGCTGGACGGTGAGTTTTTACCCCACTGGCATGCATTGAACAGTTTTCAATTAGTTTCAATGGGGTTTTTAATTTCGCTTTACAATGTTTTCGCTTAATGGCGATTTTCCTGGAATGGATTATCATTAAGTGAGGCACCACTGTAATGACATCCAGGGCATTAATCTTGAATTTAACATTTCCTACTCTGCCCATCTCAGATTCCAAGGCTTCCCAGGGATCCCATTTGGGATGGGGAATACACTGAGATCCTTGGGACAGGGAGGGGAAGAGTTTATGTCTGATTATTGCCACCACAAGAACTGCTGCCAGAGGGCAGAGAACATAGATAACTTTTAATTAAAGACAAAAAGCTGCACCTTATGTTGTCATCAGCCTTACCTGGGCAGAGCTGTGCCAACAGAATTCTGGCCACTATATCAGAAGATAGTAATTTGGTTTTTGTTTGTTTTAATAAAAAGGGGGAAAACATCAGATTTGGGTGGAAGTGACATATTCCACAACACACACACACACACACACACACACACACACACAGAGAGAGAGAGAGAGAGAGAGAGAGAGAGGCTGTGTGAGACAAAAGAAGCAGCAGGCAAACTAATTCAAAAAAATAGCATTATAAGTTGATTCCTGTAATAAGTAAGACATCTATCTACTGAAAACTAGAATATGTGATAACTATTATACCTTTATTTTTAAAATACGTATAGCTATGCAATGGAGGATCTGTAACAGACCTTGTGAAAGGGTTTTTGAAGAGAGGGGAAAGGATGAGCGAACTTATTATTGCTTACATTTTACATGAAGCTCTTATGGTAAGTAAAAACAGGTGAAATGTCTTTTTGTTTTGTTACAAAGTTTGTTGTACTGAAATCCATTGATTTTAAAACTGATTAAGTTATCATATAGGTGTATTAGATTGTGCCTCCGTCACGTGTGAAAATACTACTTTTTTGGACCTTAATTGCCACATCCCTCAGGTAGTTTGACCAGTGCTGACTGAAAGTCTGAAATGTAACTTTTATTAACAATTGTTGAGATAAAACACTTTTGTCCTCTTCTATGTGTTGTGTGCCATCAAGTCACATTTCACTTATGGCAACCCTAATACTATTTTCAAGATATGTCGGATGTTTAAGGAGTGAAGTTGAATGGGGATTTGAAAGTTTTCCTGAGTCCTAGCCCATTTTTCTGTCAAATGCACCATCCCGAGTCTGGCACATTGTCTTGTTCTAGCTGCCGGCAGAGCCAGGATGGTGTACTTGGCAGAAAGATGGACTACAGTGGTGCCTCGCTTAATGACAATAATCCGTTCCAGGAAAATCGCTGTTAAGCGAAAACACCATAATGCGAACTAAAAAACCCATTAAAACGCATTGAAACCCGTTCAATGCGTTCCAGTGGGCTGAAAACTCACCGTCCAGCGAAGATCTCCGATATGGCGGCCATTTTCGGTGCCTGTATAGCGAGGAATCCATCCCTAGAAAACAGCGGGGGGCCATTTTGAAAGCCGGCAGCCATTTTGAAGCTGCCAATCAGCTGTTCAAAAACATCGTTTTTATTTTGAAAGCCGGCGGCCATTTTGAAGCTTCCAATCAGCTGTTTAAAAAACATCGTTTTTTGAAGAATTGGTTCCGAAGCAGTGGACCAATCATCACAAAGCGAAAAAACCCTTCGCTATTTAAAACATCGTTTTGCAATTGCAATTTCGATCGCAAAACCTTCATCGTGAAGCGGATTCATCGTAATGCAGGGTAATCGTCAAGCGGGGCACCACTGTATGACCCAGAAGAACGTTCAAATCCCCATTCAGTGATTCATCGTAATGCGGGGTAATCGTCAAGCGGGCACCACTATACGACTCAGAAGAACATTCAAATCCCCATTCAGCCTCACTTCACCTAAATGCAGATAAAATTTGTCTGCATATGTCATAGCGAAGCCCTTGAGATGCCTGTGTATGAAAAGCAAACTACATCCTGAAACATCTGGCTTTTCTGATCCAGTATGTTTGTCAGCAATGCACTGTTCTGTTAAATTTCCATAAGAATCCTCTACTTTTCTATTCAGAATGAGTCCCCTTCAGCTCAGTTGGTCTCCCTCCCAGGTAAATTAGTTCTGCAATATTCATTGGTATGTACAGTTTCTACATCCCTGTCCTCCTGATTATATATCAGTTGCCAGATCTTAACACAGTGGTTCATAGTGTTATATTTGTAAGTTCCACTGATTTGAGGAAATTTAATGGACAATTAACAGTTTTTTTGTAACTGATTCAAATTTACCATGATAGTGGAAATTCACATCCTGACAAGATATTCTGAACTACAGGGAAGTTGTAATGTGTCTTCTGTCCTTAAATTAGATTGAAAGTAATCTTAATTGTACTTGATTTTATATGTGTATTCGTGCTTCTCTCTCTCTTTTTCTTTAGTGAAGGTGAATGACTTTTATAACGGTATACTTTTTTTTCAGGGCCTCGAGCACTTGCATGAAAACAAAACCATCCACCGTGACATCAAAGGAAATAATATCTTGCTAACAACTGAAGGAGGTGTTAAGCTTGTGGATTTTGGTAAGCTACGATTTTCTAGGGGTATATGTTTGTATGTCTACATGTGTCAGCACCTATCACATTCATTCCAACTTAAGACCAGGACAATTTTTTTTGTTTAATAACTAAAGTAGCATTCAGGATGTTCCACTGTGCCATGAAATCCAAACAGAGCCACATACACTTTCGCCAAGCCTGACACATTTCACAGGCTTGTCGTGAAGATTGTATTCGGGGTGGGGTGGGGGAAGTGAGATGTAAACAAATAAAACCATAAAAAAACCAATACAAAAACAAAAAAAACACGCATACATGAGTTGTCTTCTACACTCTTAGTGGGCTAGTCTTTTTTTATTTGATTTTTTAAAAACAGGCTAGTAGATTTTGTGGGGTTATTTACAAGATTGAATTAGGATTACATAGCGGGAGTGGGAAGTGACTCTTGGCCTTTATTTTTTTAGAGTCACACCTAAAAAATAAAGTCCTATGTTCTCTCAGGTAGTCAGAAGCAAATACCATATTAATATATTCCTGTGATGCAGTTTGTGGCGTAGCATCCTGAATTTTGACAAGAGGAGTAGGAGGAATATATTTACATTTGATAAATATGCAAAAGCTTGGCTTGTGTCTCCAGAATGGAGTCCTGTTGAGCTATTCCAACCTCGCCTTCCTCAGTTCTCTACTTGTCTACTCATCCAAGCTAGCACGTTCTTGTTGTTATTTAGTCGTTAAGTCGTGTCCGACTCTTCGTGACCCCATGGACCAGAGCACGCCAGGCCCTTCTGTCTTCCACTGCCTCCCGGAGTTGTGTCAAATTCATGTTGGTTGCTTCGATGACACTGTCCAACCATCTCATCCTCTGTCGTCCCCTTCTCTTCTTGCCTTCACACTTTCCCAACATCAGGGGCTTTTCCAGGGAGTCTTCTCTTCTCGTGAGATGGCCAAAGTATTGGAGCCTCAGCTTCAGGATCTGTCCTTCCAGTGAGCACTCAGGGTTGACTTCCTTCAAAATGGATGGGTTTGTTCTCTTTGCCGTCCAGGGGACTCTCAAGAGCCTCCTCCAGCACCACAATTCAAAAGCATCAATTCTTCGGCGGTCAGCCTTCTTTATCGTCCAGCTCTCATTTCCATACATAGCTTGAACTATGCAGACCTTTGTCAGCAATGTGATGTCTCTGCTTTTTAAGATGCAGTCTAGGTTTGTCTTCGCTTTCCTCCCCAGAAGCAAGATAGTTTCCAAAAATGCCCTGTGTGAAACTGCTCCTGTAGATCCCACAGATTCACGAACGACCATGGGAAGGCTGCAGTGGATGGGGAGATCCATGAAAATTCAATGTCTGTCTTGCACAAGTAGATGTGTTTAGCCATAACACTAAGCTATCAGTGGGTATAACCTGGGGTTTACTTACTGTAGGAAGGAATATTGGATTGTGCTAATTCTTGGAGTAGCATCTAGGCTAAACAAAACACAGTTAGACTAAATAGACCAAAAGGAATACAGAACAGTGACTTTCCTAAGCTCTGAAATAGATCCACAAGAAAGCAGAGTCTCCGTAACTTTTATCAGCTGGGACAGAAAGGGAGTTTCAGGCAGTACAGTCTCTTCACTTCTGCATGAGAAACTGCTGTCTTCCAGAATGATAGGTTTAGAGGAGGCAGTCTTGTTAATCGCATCAGGTGGCCACCATATTTTCTCTGTTTCTCATCTTGTGCCAAACTGCAGAGACGGTATGTTTGCACAGATGTTTTAGTACAATATGTTCCAATTGAAGAACAGTTGCCTTGTTCTCTCACCTTTACCAGCACATTTTAATGAGATACGTATTAGTTGAACAGATTTAATTATGCGAACTCAAAGCTGGGAAAGGTTACCTTTATAAACTGCTACCCAGAATTGACCAGCCAGCAAGGACATTATTAGTTCAGAAAGTAACTTTTCTGATATTTGATACCTATGTATGCACAAGAGAACTCTTGCACATGGGGAGAGACTATACTAAGAACTCTGTATTACTCCTCAATAGAGTTCTCCACGTGTACATCTGTGTGCACAGGAAACTCCTTAGTCGGTTAGTTAGTAAGTTTTCTCATTTATAAACCACCTTTCTCCCGCTGAGTGGACTCAGCGTGGCTTACAGTACATGTTAAATCGAGTAAATTAATAACAATAAATTATACTTTGAAAACAATTCAGCTATAATGGTAATGAAAAATACATTAAATTGTTACAAACATTAAAAAGTTTAAAAAGAAACTTACAGTACTTCAGACTGGGACTCCTTGTTCGGAAGCTGGGGGGAAATTCTCGGCAGTAGCATCCTGACTGGAGCGCTCTTCCCTTGGAGGCTTGACTGTCACCTCCATTGGCATCATTTTGGCACCAAATTGGAACATGCTTATGTATGAGAGCCTTTTGGAGGTTGAGGATATTGGCACACCCCAGTTTTAACACAGTGGTTTTAATGTATTCATTGGTATGTTGTTTAAACTGTTTGATTTTAAGTTGCTTTAAGGATTTTACATTTTTAAATTGTCAGTTACACAGCTGCATAAAACTCTGAGATCCTGTGATATAGGATGGGCTATAAATGTTTTAAATAAATAGATAGTTAAATAAATAGATAAATAAAAAAATATAGCAGGCTGTCCTGTGTGACTCTCTATACATTCATTCTGTATGTGAAGGAATATATATGTATCCCCTAATAAGCAATGTAAGAAGTAGAATGCCTGTATACCCTTATGGCAGATATTTTATCTCCCAGGGTGAATATTTGTGGCCCTTGTTTTTAACCTGTTTTTCAAGGAAGTTTCTAACTTCTTGTTTTGTATTGCTTTGGGGGTCTTTGTGAATAGAAAAATCATAAACAAATACTGTGAATAAGTAATTAAAGGGTGAGACTGGTTATTTGTATTGTCCTATTAAACCATAATGAGAGCAGGGAGTGGTAAAATTGTATTCATTCTTTGGCAAGAGGAGTTGAAAAACCAGTTTACCAAATGGCTGCCTGCATTCTATGGTAAGTTGTGTGTGTGTTCTGTGCCATCATGTCGGACTTCTAGCAACCCTAAAATGGCTTTCAAAGTAAGTGAAATATTTAAGGAGTGGTTTGACCAGTTATACTCCCCCAGTCAGTTTCCCTGGACAGGGAGGGATTTGAACCCTGTTCTCCAAAGTCCTAGTCCGTCACTCTATCCAGTACACTACACTGGGAATCCTGTGGTAAGTTACCATTGGGCAAATATTCGTCCATATTTGCCATTAGTAAAAAATGCATGGAACTGCACAAAACTTGTGCTGTGCTGATTTTGGAAGAAGAAATAATGCAAAAAGAAAATAAATAATCTAGAGCAGTGGTCCCCAGCCTTTTTGATGGTGTGGATCAGTTGGGGGGGGAACGGGGTACATGCGTAGGCGGGCAGGGCACCTTGTGCACATGCACGAAGGGGTGGGGTGCTCATGCGACATGCACACACACTTGTGCACATGTGCGAAGGGGTGGGGTGCATGCACAATGTGCGCACACGCTTATGTGCATGCACAAAGGGGCGAGGGTGCTCTCACGGTGCAAGTGCATGCACGAAGGGGCTGTGGGGGGAATGCATGCGGGGGCAGCGGAAAATCTGTCTCTGCATCCTAGTCCAGCAAAGGCCACGGACCGGCACCGGGCTGCGGACGGGGGGTTAGGGGCCCCTGATCTAGAATCAACAGGAGTCTAGTAACTGAGAATATTCCCCCTCCTTTCCAACAAGGAACACCAGTCAGAAGGAGTGTTCTGTGCATACAGATGTACACATGGAGAACTCCTAAAGAGGACTAGGAACCTGGTCTTAACATGGCCTCTCCTCATGTGCAACAGCACTGTTGTGCATGGAGTTGTTGTACTGGCAATGGTAGCACTAACAAACTAATTTCAGTGGCACAGTGTTATTGTTGCTTTTAGACACTGGCAGTTTGAAATCCTTGGTTATCTAACGTAAATCACCCGGAGATCTATCAGTAGATCTCGATCTATCTTTGGCCAACCCTTTAGCTAAAGAATGAACTGAAATCAACCAGACAGGAAAGGGCTGGCTTTGCTTGCAGCATGAAGCCGCATGACTAATAAGCTAAAGGCCAAAACCTGGTTGTTAGTCATCTCTGAGAAACAGAGGGGAGATAATTAGCTTTTTATTTAGAATATGTGACATTGGCTTGGCATAAGTACCAAAACAAGCTGAACCTACTGAACTGTAAACATTTATTTAAGCAGCTTGTGGAGCTCTGAGCCAAGCTAGGCGTTGAGGCAGCAAACCTGGTTGTATGAAATGTGCTACTTTGAAATTTATATGCAGCAGAAGAGTGTGGAAAGGTGGAGCTCAGCTCTCGTTCCTCCTTGAGAAGTCCTTCATCCCAGTTTGATTTTCTCTTGTGGGTCCTCAAGGTCTTCCTATGGGAGGAAAACGGGTTAGGATTACCAGGGATGGGACCTAAAATCACCAGTCACGTTGGACTTAAGTTGCAGTAGCAGCTCAACTTGGATTTTTTCCCCCTCACTGACTCAGACATAACTGGCAACTCAGAACCCACCCACCCCTCCTTTTTTTCTGGGGAAAAAAGCTTGTTTTTAATTGGGACTCAAGACTTGGGGCTTGGAACTTGGGACTTGTGAACATTCCTGCTGATTACCCATTCAGTTGACTCCTTATGCATTAGGCCTAGAATAATTTTAGTTCCCCTCCCCCTCAATAACATTGTGTTACAGCAGAGGTCGTCAACCTTTTTCTTACCGCGGACCGGCTGAGCCTCTGAGGGAGGTGGGGCACCCCCTTGCGCTCGCGCTCTCGGACGCATGCACGAAGCGCCGGCTGAGCCTCTGAGGGAGGTGGGGCACCGCTTGCACTCGCGCTCTCGGACGCATGGGTGAAGCGGTGGGAGATTGTGTGCGCCAGAGGGGTGCATGTGCGCTCCCCCACTGCTTTGCACATGCGCAGGAGTGCCTGCCTTCCTGTGTGCCCACCCCGCCCTGCGCGGGGATGCATGCTTGAAGGGGTGAGGGAGCACGTGCCGCCAGAGGCGGAAGCCTGGGAGTCTGAGCATGGCCGGGGTGCTCCCTCCGGCCGCTTGCCTCATGTTGGGCTCCAACGAGGCCGGGGTCGGGGCTCCTCACCGCCCTCCGCAGTGGGAAATTCAAATGGTGAGCAGCCGCTGGTACCGGTTCCGGAGCTGGGAGCTCCAGCGCCCTGCTGAGGGTGGCGAGGAGCGGCAACCCCATGCTCAGCCTCCCGGCTCTGGGCCACTCCAGTCGTCGCCGGCACCGCCAGGCCGCAAAGACAGACCTCCCACCCCTCCCCCCCGCATGCACTGCCCTCCCCACAGCTGCTTTGCATGCAGGGGTGCATGCGTGAAGGGCTGAGGGAGCGCTCATGCAGTGCTTGCACACGCGCACCTGCGCAAAGCACCTGTGGGGAGGTGAGTGTGTGTGGGGGGGGTGGGAGGTCTGTCTTCGCGGCCCGGTCCGGCTCATGCCAGGGACTGGCACCGAGCTACGGACCGGGGGTTGACAACCTCTGTGTTACAGAACTGCTGGATAGCTCAGTGGTTTAGGTTTCTGGCTGCAAAGTGAGAGGTTGGGAGTTCATTTCCCCTCTGTGCTGCCTTGACAGGGGCTGGGCTTGTTGATCCATAGAGTCCCTTCTATCTCTGCAGTTCTAAGTTGTTGTTGTTGTTGTTGTTGTCGTCGTCAACACAGTACTAGAACTACAGTGAAGGTGTTCTGTGGGATTTGAAGAACTGTGATCACTGTCCCAAGGTTTTAGCTGTTTGCATATATTTTTTCCTAAGGTGTAGGGGCCCCTCCCCCAAGGACAAAAACAGTTCTTTGGGACCAAATTGCCCCATTCCATTTCTGAACAAACCATGATGCAAAGCAGTGGAACTGAGAGGCGTTGTCATGAGGTTGGCTGCTAACATTCAGTTCCAGCAGGTTAAGAAAACACCCCAGGATGTGTACAAAATGAGTTCTTTTTCTGCTCCTTTGGACTTCGTAAAGGTAAAGGTTCCCCTTGACAACTTGTCCAGTCGTGTTTGACTCTAGGGGGCGGTGCTCATCCCTGTTTCCAAGCCATAGAGTCAGCGTTTTGTCCGAAGACAATCTTCCGTGGTCACATGGCCAGTGCAACTTAGACACGGAACACTGTTACCTTCCCACAGAGGTGGTCCCTATTTATCTACTCGCATTTGCATGCTTTCGAACTGCTAGGTTGGCGGGAGCTGGGACAAGCGATGGGCGCTCACTCCGTCACGTGGATTCGATCTTACAGCTGCAGATCTACAGACCTTACAGCACAGTGGCTTCTGCAGTTTAACCCGCAGCACCACCATGTCCCTGACAAACCCCGGCCTCTTGAGTCCTAGTCCATCACTCTGTCCATACCACACTGGAATATTACTTAAGGGACTTCATACCTTCTGCTTTATATGTACTTAGTTTGATGTTAACTGAGTTGTGCCTCTAGGATATCTGCTTTTGTCCCTTGCAAAAACTTCCTTAGAATAAATATGCAAATAATGTCTGAATTCTCCTGCAAACCCTAATCCTTTATCAGAAGCTTAAGGTGGCTTTTGAACGTTTTTTTTCCTTCTGTCATGAAGCAGTGACAGTATCAGATTACAGTCTCCAGAATTCCCCTTATTCTAGGAATTGTGTACCCTAAAGGTCACATTTCCAAACTGAGGGTAGGATCCATTTATATTTGGAATCTTGTTACCTTGCATGAGCTGTAAACTTGGTATGAATCATTCTGTAAAAGAGAGCCATTAGTTAAAGCAATTTCATCTGACATGTTTCAAAAAGAAAATAAGTTTTCTTTGTGCCCTAGCCTGATATTCAGCTGTGAGTCAGAGAAGGGCTTTGTATTTGCATTTAGTCATGCCAGCATGTCGAAGAAAATAAAGCTGTCTGCTTCACTGAATGCAACAAATGGCGTGTTGTTGTCAATTCGTACCATATAATATTACATTCATCATACATTGCTTTTAATGGAGTAATGCACTTGGTTTATTTGGAATCATAAAAGGGATAGAATTATTAATAATAGTATTGTTACTGTTGTTGTTGTTGTTGTTGTTGTTGAAAACCGCACATCAGGAATGCCTAACCTGACTTTCCTGAAGGGAACTCTCTTAACCTGATACTTAAAAAGCTATAGGGAAGTAACAGAATTAATGCCCCTTTTTTAATGGAGTAATGCACTTGGTTTATTTGGAATCATAAAAGGGATAGAATTATTAATAATAGTATTGTTACTGTTGTTGTTGTTTAAAACAGTGCATCAGGAATGCCTAACCTAACTTTCCTGAAGGGAAGTCTCTTAACCTGATACTTAAAAAGCTATAGGGAAGTAACAGAATTAATACCCGTTAAGTAATATTCCAGTGTGATATGGACAGAGTGATGGACTAGGACTCAAGAGGTCTGGGTTTGAATTGTTGCTCAGCCATGGAAACTCACTGGGGGGGTGGAACTGGTAAAACCACCCCTTAAATCTCACTTGACTTTGAAATTCATGGTCTTTATACCATATTTTTCACTCCATAAGACACACCTCTCCATAAGACGCACCAAATTTTTAGGAGAAGAAAACAGGAAAAAAATAATCTGTTTTCTTCTCCTAAAAATTTGGTGAGCCTTATGGAGAGGTCCGTCGTATGGAACACACCCTAAGACCCTTTGGAGGCTCAGCCAGCCCCCCCCCCCAGAGGCCAGAGGGGGCGAAATTGCCACCTTCATGGACTCTTCTGAAGCTTCCCAAGCCTCAAAAGAGTCCCAGAAGGTGACAATTTTGCCCCCGCTGCCCCCGTGGGGGGTGGGGGAGCATCGCAAGGGTCCTGGAAGACTCAATCGGACCCTTGGAAGGCTTCCCCATGGGGCCAGTGGGGGCGAAATTGCCACCTTCGTTTCATAAGACGCACAGACTGCCCCCCCCCACTTTTTTTGGGGGGGGGAAAAGTGTGTCTTATGAAGCAAAAAATATGGTAAGTCCATTCCAGCTTGACAGCACAGAATGAATTAGCATCCACAGCTTCGAAGCCAAGCAGGGATGGCCCTATTTCATGTTACCAGGCTTAATCTTAGACCTTTTTCTTGTGTTTGTTCAGTAACATACCCTCTGTGTAAGATTTGTACTGTGGTTTTAATCTGTATGACTCTATGCTATCTATGTAGATTTCCTCCAGAAATAATGTAACAGACATCTCCATCCCTCTGTCAAAAAAGTCATTGGTAGAAAACCTGGAAGAATGTATAGCTGAATGCTTGACTAGCTGATCATCTTTCTTGATAGAAAGAAATCACTTTCAGCCAGAGACTGAGCCGAAGATACCAACTTAAGCTCAAGAACTAGAGTAATAATAACAACCAGCCTTAAGAAGCTGTTATCTTATTAATGAAATCTAAAACATACCTTCTGTTGGACATAAACAAGAACCTCGTATGCTCTCATTATTTTTGGCCCTTCAGATTAAAAGAATAGGGAACGATTTGAGCTTAGCTTCTCTTGCATCTTTGTGTCGGTTTTATGTTTGCCCTTTTCACTGTGAAGCAATTACAGTTCTGGAATTTGACAACGTAGCAGAATAAATGATTTCACTGACTGCCATTTATTTGTTGGTCTGTTTGTTTGAAACAATGGCCGAAGCCGGCATCTTTTTGCCAAATCTGAGTGAATTAGATACATTCTGGAGCATGATCTGTATCATGTGAGGAAAAGGTTAAATCTTCTCTCCAAATCATAACTAGAAATGCCCTTACTATGGATAGGACAGTAGAGTGTGCATCCTTTTTCAAGGTGTAAGTGAACAGAACATGATGTATATCTGCTAAAGATGGCATACAGTTCAAATCTTTACTGAGTATTAACTGGATGAAAGAATAGGTATCTCGTAAGCTGAGATGGTTTTCTCATGCTTTCACTGCCGCTTTAAAAACAGGTCTTGACGTTTGTGTTACAAAAAGTGCACCATACATTAAATAGGAAGGTTGTTTGATTCTCAGCTACTCCTTGTGGTTTCCTGCAGCTAAGAAAAGGAGACAGAAGCACTATAATCATCCATCCAAAAGGGAAAAAAAGTGCAGGAAGATTGCTTATGAATATCCTAATTTAGAACCAGATTCAAGTCCTTTCCAAGCAGTTGGTGGCAGAAGAAATGCAAAGTGACAAAGGGGAATATTTACCAGCTTATATTGACAGAGTATTGCTGGCTAGGTGACTGGCAGCAGGCTACAGAAATGCTACTAAGCTGTTGAAGCAAGAAATGGCACATTGGAACATAATGAAGAGAGTGATGAGTGATGGTATTCTCCAGATGGAACTCCGGAAAGCATAGGCGTCATTCTTGTGTCATTTTGCCTGTTCCTTATAGGTGTATCGGCTCAGTTAACCAGCAGTCGCCTCCGCCGGAATACATCAGTAGGAACTCCCTTTTGGATGGCTCCTGAGGTTTGATGAGATTTTTTAAAATTCGTATTTCTCTGTATCTTGTTTTAAATACAGCACTTTCTCATCCTTTCCTTTCCCCTCAAGTTTCTAGTTCTCTTTATTGTGATTTTTAAAATCCTTTGGGGAAATCCATGATGTTCTAACCACTGCTAATGTTATTAAAATAAAAAATAGCTAAGGTGACATTTTTGCCAGGATTCATTCAGGTAGAGCAAGACAGCTAACTCACATTGAAGTTACTTATTCCTCTGCATGAAATAAAATAAAATAAATCACTGCATTACCCAAAATATAGAGATTGCCAGGGGACTTTTAAAATGAGCCCCATGCTTTCTTGTCCCCTTCCTGTTCCCCTTTACACGGTCTGCTTCAATTAGTTACTTTTCTTACATATATCAAGTCATACTTTGCTTTTCCATCTGAATGGGCAAAATGAGATTTATGCCCGCCCTATAAACGTAAGTTGCAAAAGACTAAATTTCACTTCATCATTATGGGTGTAAAAACAAGGAGATCTAACCAGAAAGTGACTAGTTGAAGCAAAGTGTGCAAGAGGCAAGAGGGATAAGGAAAATCCCACATTCTTCAGTACTAAACTGTCTGGAGTGACTAGTTGAAGCAAAGTGTGCAAGAGGGATAAGGAAAATACCACATTCTTCAGTACTAAACTGACTGGGTGCTACATGTGAAACTGCTCAGCATGCTTTCTATGTTGTAACTTTGCATTGGATTGTCATGTTTTATAAAATGTGCTTTTTCAAGCTCAATGTGGCAACCCTTTATTTTGCTCAGATGGGGCAGACAACAAATGATGCATGGGTCACCTGGGAAGGTCATCTCTGGATCTCCCCCCCCCCATGTGTCCTCCCCCATTGCTAAAATTACAACTGCACTCACTGCTCTAGGTAGTCACCTGAGGGGGTGGATTTTGGGAAGTAGCAGCAAAGTGTTGGAGGAAAGAGATTTGTGTCACATGGCTTCTTCTTTATGGTCTTTGTGAATCACACACATATGCTTCCTCCAGGTATGGTGGAGAATTCTGCCTGGTTGTTAGGGTTAAAGAAAGACTCAGCTGAGAGTCTAACTAGTTTTTATACATGGAATGGGGTGTGTAGCATTTGTTATTGCCTCAGACAGCAGTACATCTTGGGGCAGCCCTGTTTGGCTTGTCTTAATCCAGTCCCCCAACAAGTTGTCTGAATGTCTTTCAACTGCTTAAGCAAATCCATTGTTACCATGGTGATAGCTTTGGAAACCTGGATGAAAACTTTCCTCCACCCTCTGTATTATAGAAGAGGAGGCACCACTGTTTTCTGCAGTACAGTATGGCAATCATTCTCAAGCAGCATGGAAGATCAAAGTACCGATTAAATACTCAATGTTTCTGAATATTTCCAGTTCAGATATTGTTGTCCAAAGTGCCTGAAATCATGGCTGTTCTGTTTGCTTCGTCAGAAATGCTCAAGAACAGTTTCATGTGTTTGGGTGAAAAATACATTTGTTACTCATACCAGTACCATACCATGTACTCATTCATATATATGTCCTATCCTGTTTCCCCATTCCAGTACCATACCATGTACTCATTCATATACGTGTCCTGTTTCCCCATCAGTCTGTGAATTAACACATAAAAATTCATATGCAAATGCTTTTTCACAAATACACATTGTTATGTCTTTTTTCCTAAAATTATGGGAGTTTGAGTGAATTTAATTTTAAAATATGCATTTTGAATGCATTTTAGACTTAAACGCATATTCTTGTGTGCATTTTAGCATGATTGTGAGCTGGTTATTGCTTTATGAATTTCTGAGAGGATAGTAAAGGAAAACTGCGTCCCAATTCTTACATTGTTCGGGAAAAATGTGAATAAGATCAGATCACTTAAAAATGCATATCAGACAAAATCCTTAGGCATCCCTAATTGTAGTTATTCTTTGAAGAACGTTTTTATATTGGCTAAGAAAAAGAATTACACCATTTCAAATCAGTAGTCAACAATTACTGTAAAAAAAAGTTACATATCAAGATGTATATCCACGATTCATGGATTATCATATAATTGAGATGTCAATATAAGTAATACATGTGATTATCAATTATCCTAGCAGATCCCATTATAGGTTATTATGTAAACTTGGAAGATATATATCATTTCCTTTGTGATTAGTACACAACTCTCATACAGGAAGATGACACAGTTTAGTATCTCAGAATTATGTTTTGTTGCAGAATTCATACAGAATAAGATTTACTATTGGGGACACAGTTTAGTATCTCAGAATTATGTTTTGCAGAATTCATACAGAATAAGATTTAGTATTGGGGGCATTTTATGACATCAGTTGAAGAGCTGTAAGCAGTGCCCTAGGTTTCTGCAATTTATCATGTTTTGCTTGGTTAATTTTTTCTTAAATTGACCCAACAAATCCATTATAATTTGTTAGTAGGGATCTTTTTTCCCACTTAGTCATTGTAATATATGTAAAACATCCTATGCTGTTTTTCAGCCAGACATGATGCCAGGAAACAGGAGTGGCATGTTCTGATTATCAGTAGGTTAGCCCTATGGAAGAGGACTTTGGAACGCTTAGTGGATTCAAAAAATGCTCCCCTTATCCCATCCTAACTCTTTTTGCTTCCTTTCAATTCATTGGCATTTCCAGGGGTTCAGATACTATCCAGAAGTCATTAAGTGCAAGGTGTTGCTTTTTTTTTAAACTTCCTGGATGAGGTTAATAAATAAGTTACTTGTAAAACTCTTGTCCACTGAAGTTTCTAATCTAAATATGGTTCATTATCTTTTTTCCCTCTTAACAGGTGATTGCATGTGAACAACAGCTGGATAGTTCCTATGATGCCAGATGTGATGCATGGTCACTGGGAATCACAGCTATAGAGTTAGGTGATGGAGATCCACCTTTGGCTGACTTGCATCCTATGAGAGCTCTGTTCAAAATACCAAGGTACTGTCATTGTGAATCTTTCTGGTGACTCAGTTGACTCATATATTTCTGTAGTATCTGTGCTATATGAACCTCAGTTTTGTTGTGCTTATTTATATTGTTGCCCCATTCCTTTTCATAACAGGTTGCGAGAATTTGTGTTTTTTCCCCTTTCTGCATGAAAATCCATTCCACGCACATTTTCCTAATGTATGCATTTTTACCCCCTCTCCCCATTGATTAAATTATGTTTATGTGTATTCTTCAGTGATAGAATTCTTCAGCTGTTCACGCTTTGTAAAAATGTGCACATGTTGGTGAAATGGATTCCATTCTCTGAAATGGATATCTCACAAATATGTAGAGAAAGAGTGATATTTGATTCATAACAAGCCTCAAGTTGTGTCAAAAGTATACTTTTCATGTATTCAGTTCAATGGATAATGGCCGGCCACAAAAACAAAAACTCTCGTTAAAAGAAAGCAGTCTTTAAGATGTCTCAGTGATTTTTGTCTTCTTTGTTTTTTATTTCTCTTTTATTTTTGCCTGATATGCCCACAAAATTCTTTCCCATTTCTAGTCCCAACATTATAACTAAGTTGAAATGATATTAAAAAAGCAGGAGTGTGACTGAAATAAAAACACATTTCTCCACTTTTTATTTCTACCCCACATTTCTTCATTTTGGTCTTATGCATTTATTTTTGTCCTTTTTTTTTATCCTGAAAGACCTTTGGGTCAGAGTGATCCTAGGAAGCTGGCTGAAATCCAGTAGTAAGCTGCAGCTGGAGTAGACCTATTGAATAAATGGAGATTATAATCATTAACCTGTTGCAACATTGTCTTCTGCAGGAATCCACCTCCAACATTACGGCAGCCAGAGCTATGGTCACCCGAATTCAATGATTTTATCAGCAAGTGAGTGACAACAAGGCTATCAAAAAATAAATGAATGTACACCGTGCAGTTAAAAATACCTCTGCATTCAAACAGCCCTGCAGTCTTCCAGACTACACATTTCACTATTAATTTCATTTACTTCAAAGTGTTGATGATGACGTATAAAGCCCTAAATGGTTTAGGACCTTGATACCTGGCAGATCGCCTTCTCCCACCTAGATCTACCCGAATCACTCGCCATAGCCAGGAGGGACGGTTGAGGGGCCTCCATAGCCAGGAGGGATGGTTGAGGGGCCTAACGCCGAGAGAGGCCCAGAAAGAAAGAACAAGAAACCAGGCCTTCTCGGCAGTGGCCCCTCAGCTCTGGAATAGCCTCCCATTAGTGATCCGCCTGGCCCCCTCACTGGGTGTTTTTAAGAACCAATTTAAAACTTGGCTCTTCAGGCAGGCCTTCCCTCCCGTCAATACTTGACTTTATTCTTATTTATAATTTTCTGTTTTCCCATCTTGAGCATTACTAACATTATTGTTTGAATTGTTTTAACTTTTTTTATAATGTTTAATGGAACCCACCCGGAGTAGACTTTGTCTAAAGGGGCAGGATAGAAATCTAATAAATAAATAAAATAAATAAATATTACAAGCACAGTTTTTTTTCATAGTAATTAGTAACTCATGTGTGTTTGTTCTTCCTGTTGATGCGTGGGAAAGGTCACATGCCCAGTTCTAGAGAGCACCTGGCCACTATCTGGCAGGGGTATAAGGAGGAGAGAGGGACTGGATGATTCATTCCAGTGCCATGGTTGTCTGAAATACTTGTGGCATTAGCCAAATTCATGTGTTATGGCTGAATAAGGCACCAAAATGCATTTAAAATGGATGGGGCCTCACTCATAGAGATAGTGCTTCTTTTTGCCCTATGAGACAATGAGATACTTCCTGGTAGTCCTGGCAACAGTTGTCACATCACCTTTTGTACAAATCAAGCAACTGCATAAAACTACAGTGGCTGTTGCTTGGTTTGGATGGACTTCTAGTGATTAGAACCACCAGTGGATTGGTTTTTGAACAATCAGCCAATTGGTTGTTGTGGGTTTTTCGGGCTCTTTGGCCATGTTCTGAAGGTTGTTCTTCCTAGCGCTTCGCTAGTCTCTGTGGCCGGCATCTTCAGAGGACAGCACTCTGTGCTCTTCAGAGGACAGCACTCTGTGTTCTTCAGAGGACAGCACTCTGTGCTCTTCAGAGGACAGCACTCCGTGCTGAGAGCACGGAGGGCTGTCCTCTGAAGATGCCGGCCACAGAGACTAGCGAAACGTTACGAAGAACAACCTTTAGAACACGGCCAGAGAGCCCGAAAAACCCACAACAACCTTTAGATCCCGGCCATGAAAGCCTTCGAGAATACATTAAATCAGCCAATTGTTTTTTGCTTGTTTTGTATGTGTGTGTGCTTTGCTTCTTAAAAGGGAAGGTCACCAGTTCTGAGCACAGACTTTCAACATGTATTGCTGAGGACCTCCTTCCTCTCTTTCTCATTCATTTCCTTCTTTTGACCATTCTGACTTGGGGTGGGGAACATTTTTGTCTCACTTGAAACCCACTGTGGATTTTAGACTGAGCCTTACAGAAGCTATTCAAAGTGCTGGATGAACATTGGAGCTAGGATTCAGCACCTTAGAGAACTGTAAAACTCAGACTGAAGCCTGAAGTGAATTTGTCATAGTACAAACAAAGAACCACTAGCCAACTACAGAGGTCCCATGCATAGAATACAGATAAGTATAATGCTGCGGAACTAAAGCTTGATGCAGGGGAGATAGACCCATATGCCTGTGATATGTCCCACATGTACAACACGTGATTAAGCATCCTCTGCTGCTACTGCCGCTCTTGATTTATATCATTGTACTGCCTAAAGTTGTTCTTTTCTGTCAGTCCAGGTGTTTGACCAAAGATTATGAGAAACGTCCGACTGTGTCTGATCTGCTGCAACACGAATTTGTGAAGCAGGTAGAGGGCAAGGAGAGCGTGCTACAGATGCAGTTGATGGAGTTCATTGATGTTCATCAGCAAATGGGAGTCACAGAAAAAGCAAGGTATACCTCACCTCACCTTACCTTTTTCAGGGGATGGATACTTGTCCCTCTCACGCAATACCAGAACCAGGGGACACCCACTCCAATTGAGTGTTGGAAGAGTGAGAACAGACAAAATAAAACATTTCTTTACCCAGCGTGTTGTTAGTCTGTGGAACTCCTTGCCACAAGATGTGGTGATGGCATCTGGCCTAGATCCCTTTAAAAGGGGACTGGACAGATTTCTGGAGGAAAAGTCCATCCCAGCTTACAAGCCACAATGGGGATGTATAATCTCCAGGCTTAGAAAGAAGGTACCTCCAAATGCCAGATGCAGGCGAGGGGTTTCAGGAGACATGGATCTAGTTGTCTCGTGTGCGCCCTGAGGCATCTGGTGGGGTCACTGTGAGATCCAGGACGCTGGACTAAATGGGCCCTTGGCCTGATCCAGCAGGGCTCTTCTTATGTTCTTATGTCCCTTACCTGGTCTGTATTAAGCTACCTTTACTCCGTTGCTGCTAATACACACTAAAACTCCATAGTCTGCAGTCACCTTTTCCTGCCATCTATGGGTTCAGCCAGCATGGGAAAAGATCATACTAATATAAGCACCTAGAACTGTTCTGTTCAAAGGGAGACCCTGACTGATCCGTCTCTCCCCTCCAAGTGAAGAAACCTGTGCACATATCTCAGTATGTGTGGAGTCCTTTCCCATGCCAATAGAGCACCCAGGTGATAGGGGAGTATTCCCCCATGGATATTAAAAGGGAGTGCAATCTCATGATCCACATTCTTTCAGTATTTTGGGGACTGATGTAAACCATCCTAGTATTCTATAAGTGTTAACCATCAGTTCAGTACTACAAAAACCTTTATGCATGAATTAATTGGGATAAACAGGGTCCTGTACTCTGCACATGAAAAAGACACATTATCAGAGATACTGTGAATTACAGGGGAGAATATTTTCATGTTTGTTCCCTGGATGTAGCGCATGCATCTAAATGTAGTGTATGCATCAAAAAGCACTTAGTATCCTGTAGCTTTTTTACAAAATTGCCAGATATGTGTTAGTTTAGCCCCAGTTTTCTGGAAGAACTTCACTAAAACAGTGCATTGAATATGGACTATAGCTGTTCAAGTATTTATGTATTTCTAGTCTGCTTCAGGATAAAATGAAATACAATTTTTAAAGGGAACATAGTATATAAAAGAGTTTACTTTTGACACATATAAATTGTTATTGCTGCCTTTTTCTTCGTATCAAAATGAGCTACATGGAGAAATCTTATTAAAATCATTTGCCTTTATATTGATTTTTTATGACTATTTAATTTCTTTTTCATTGTTTTGTTTTGGTTCTTTGCAATCCTCCAGTGAGACATAGCAATTTAATTTGTCCTTTTTATACCCTGCAACTTATCACAGGATGACACATTGCCAAGAAATGGAAACAATTCTCCTTTCCATCATTTTGGGGGAAAAAAGCCCTAAAAGACTGAAACATGGCCAGTATTTATAGGAATAAGAACATCCTTGGTCACTAGCTGGGAACAAGTCCAATGCCTTATACTAATGGGAGGGCCTGGAGCTACACCCAGGGGCTCACTCTCGATACAGGAACAATTTGGCACAAGCAGTAATTCTAAACACCCTCCCAGACAGGCATTAAGTGTCATGTAGTTACTTATTTAACACAGGGAGTTTCAATGGCTATTCTTCCTTGAGGTTGCATAGTGTTCCATTTTTCCAGCATGTATTACAACATGTATTCTCTCTTTCCCGTTTAGTAATTATGAATGCTTTATAAAAGGTAATTCTTTTAAGTGCTGCTGAGACCTGTAAAATATTGCCTATAGTAATAGCAGGGGCAGACAAAACTCTTTCTTTCTTTCTTTAGTCCACTGGCTCAGTACTGTCTATTTAGCTCTTGATTGTAGGGGCTTTTGTAAGTCTTTTCTAGCCCTGTTTGCCTGGGACTGAACCTGGGAGTGTCTGCTTCATGGCCCCAATGTCAAAAGTGGAGCCTGTGGCAACGGGACTAGAAATGGCCATTTTCTGCACCAAAACCACCTTGTCTAAATTGCTAGTTTTAACACCTTTGTACTTGGCAGTAGCCCTCCCTTCATTTGGAGTGCTGGTACAATTTTATGCATAATCCCTCTCCACAGATAGAAAGGCATAGGCCTAAAGACTGTTTGCGAAGGCTTTCATGGCCGGGATCTAATGGTTGTTCTGGGTTTTTCGGGATCTTTGGCCGTGTTCTGAAGGTTGTTTTTCCTGATGTTTCACCAGTCTCTGTGGCCGGCATCAACAGGTTGCTGTCCTCTGAAGATGCCGGCCACAGAGACTGGCGAAACGTCAGGAAGAACAACCTTCAGAATACGGCCAAAGAGCCCGAAAAATCCAGAACAACCACTAAAGACTATTGTTTCCTCTAACATGAGGAGGTCTTTTGAATAACCAGGACTTGATTTAGAAAAGTTCCATCGATTTGGTGAGAATCGGCGAGATTAGTCCTGCTGGGACTAACAACTGGATTTAGCCTAAATGTTCTCCCATTACTACCATAGTCTCTGTTCAAACAGCTCTTTAAAAAATGTAATACTTCACTTCTTTAGATGCACACATTCACAAGCCTAATATCACAACGGGATAAGATCGTCTGCTGATGGTAGTCATATCTGCTGAAACTTGTGCTCCAGGCCCCCAGTGGCCAGTTTTCACCATAAAATGGGATACCCTATAAGTTCCATTCATTGTTTTGTGGCATCGTGGATGGGGGGGGGGGGAAGACCTGTGATGGCTAACATATATATATATTTTTTAGTGGAATTTCTTGGGCATTGATTTTTGGCAGCCACAATCGTTTGCAAAAGCAAAGTATGCTATTATCTACCATCGCATAGTGTTTAAAGCACTCTGGGTGGTTTACAGTTTAATTATACGGGCTACATATTGCCCCCTGCCCACCCCCAGTGAACTGGGTATTTAATTTACTGACCTCAGAAGGATGGAAGGCTGAGTCAACCCTGGGCTGGGTATCTGAGCCTGTCAGGATCAAGCTCACATTGTAAGCAGAGTATGGACTGTAATACTGCAGCTACCACTGCACTCTCAGGATTGCTTGCGGTTTCCATTAATTTTTTTCAGCATTGGAGTGGACATATCCTCCCACTTAAAAAGAACAACAGGAGGCATAATAAACAGAAACACGTTTATTCTCATCCAGCAAGTCTCATCTTTACATATATACATTATTCTGATAGGCCTAGGATATATAGAGATATGTATGGCAAGGTTCCTGTACCTTGGGATTTCTCTTCAAACATCTGAAACTTCACTAGATATTATACAGTTTCAAGACTAACCAGAATGCCTCAGGGCCTAACAATTTATATTTTCTGCCCAGTGATCTATGTTGTGCAATTTAGCGCTTTGGGGTGGGATACCAAACCTTTGTGGAGACACAACCATTTTAAAAAGAGGACTAGGGAAAGTACAGCCGATATTTGTCCTCAGGGATCCCCAGGAGGTCACTTCCTGTTTTTTCAAAAGGCTATTTGAGGCCTAAATAGACTTGAGGAAGAGCCAGAAATAACCTTTAAATGGCCAGTTCCACTGCCAATACTTCTGGAGGAGTGATTAGCAATTTTTATGTGAGCGTGGTTTTTTCCAGCATAAGGTTGTCAGAGCCTAACGAGGTATGGCCCCAGCAGCCTCAAAAGAGACCCACCCCAGCTTAGAGTGACCTTTTCCTCCCATAATGTCGGTAATAATGTGGTCCCGTTGCTTCAAGGCTCTCTGTATGGCATAGGGCAGCAGTGGCGAACCTATGGCATACGTGTCACAGCTGGCACGCAGAGCTCTCTCTGCGGGCACATGAGCCATGTCGCTGGATCTCTGTTCCCCCCGCCCCCCCGCAGCCAAACCTGCAGAAACAGCTGCAGCTGTGGGGCTGGCGCTTCGACAGGTGGCAGACCAGGATCTAGAGCAGCTGGCACTGGCAGTGGATCCAGAGTGGGGTCTCGAGGTACCTCCATGCCCGGGATTCCCCCTTCCACTGCCACGTCCGGTTCTGCCACTGCCAGTTCCACCATTGCCACTTCCGGTTCCACCACAGGGGTGCCCCGCTAGTGTACCCCCCCCCCCCAGTTTGGGCACTCGGGCCCGAAAAGGTTCACTGTCACTGGTACAGGGCAATATTTTGACCCTCTCCCTCACATTTGAATTGAGACCTTAGTCACCAAGTCTAGATGGAAAACATGGGTCATGGATCACAGTTGAGCCCTCAATGTGTGGGCCACATTGCCAGTGGATGGGGACCTTAACGTCCCCTCAGGGTTCCTCACAGCCTTGGTGCTGAAATTCCAGTGATTTTGACAGCCTCAGCTGAGTGCTGACCATAGGAAGATCTGAGAAATGGGGTTTGACCTGTTTTTCTAAAGACGCTGTCAACCCCAATGTATGGGCTATTCATGCATTACTTTCATGCCCATGTTCAGGTAGTACTCACCTTAATCAGCCCAGTTTTTTTGACACTTAGAATATTGGAAAAGATTACTGTGTGCTTTACAGCTCTCTTTCTCCACCTCCACCACAGCTTGGCTATATTAAACAATTTGGCCTGTTTCTAACATGCTCCAGTGCATAGCAATTAGATGACTAAAAGTGACACTTGAGCAAGGAGGTTATTCCATCAAGCATTATCTGGCAAGATCAGCTTGTCTTCTGTTGCCTCATCTGTCCATTTGTATTTGCCAATCCAGGAAGAATTGTAGTGATGCTGTAGCATTTTTTGTGTGTGGCTGAGCCAATTAGGCTTTACTATAAAGATTTTTCACACACACCCCAACCCTATAGACAGAATGTATAAGGGTGACCTTTAGAAATGAAAGACATTGAGAGTATATTGGTCAACCTTACGGTAAAGAAGATGAGTGTGACCGAAAAAATGGCTGGGTTTTTCCCCCCAACCCCAAGGAAAAAACGCACAAAAACAGAGGTTCAGAACTGATATAGCTATGGTTAAAATTATGCTTGGTTTGTATCTGAAATCCTGGTTAAGACCCAGTTGTACAGGGAAACATATTCTAACATTTTCACCAGTGTCATGCCTGCAGATGGTTTGTGCAGACACAACAAGCCCTACTAATCTGGGAAACAGGGCGGCTGATGAGGCTGGAAACCTGGTTTACCATGGTTTGCTCAGTACAGATGTACTGAGCAAGCAGAGAAGCAGCAAATTATGGGCCTTTAATTTCCAGATTCCTCAGGCAAGCATGACTTGCTAGAGACATTTAGGAACACAGGAAACTGCCTTATACCAATCAGACCGTTTGAATACATAGCCTGGTATTGTGTGTTCTGGCTGGCAATGATTTTTTAGAGTCTCATCAGAGACTTTCCTGTCCCTTGTTACTTAATCTTCGAAAGATGAGAAGCTAGGATCTTCTGGCTCAGCTGACCTTGGAATTTTCCTTATCAAGTTCTTCTAGTTATCTTACCAACGACAAAGAAATTGCCGTGGAGTTGGCATTTCCCATGTTCTTTCAAGAGCCATCAGAAATCACTTTTGTGCATTTTGACAAAAGAGACGAAAAGAGCTCCAGTGACCTCATTTTGCTTTGACTGGAAGGCAGGAGATGATGAGGTGGGCGGCCCCGGGGCGGGGAGAAAGTGAGCAGAAACAATATAACTGTCTTGAGTCATTCTGCTTGTCTGCACAGCCTTGGAACAGCCTGTCAGTCAGTTGACGGTGCCTGTGCATTGGTAGGGTTTGTTCCAGATACTGTACAAAGAATAATAGTTTCATGGATTGAAATGGGGATTGGAGGGTGAAGATCCTTCTGTTTACAATGCCGTCTGATCATAAAGGGTAAAGAACACCCAATCACTGACATCAGAGGAGAGAATTATTTTTGTCAAGGCTTTGGGTGCACAAGCACTGAAAATAGCATCATTCCCCTTGAGGAGATCTGCGCCCTTTGACCTGTAAACAGACAAAGTGCTGTGATGTGCTCTCATATCGGAATCTTCTGCATTTTGAAAAATATAAACCGTTTATCGAAGAATCCATGAAACAATCAGCATCCAGGCTTGTTAGATTTCCCTCTAGAAGTATGTTGTGCAGCTGAATCTCTCTTAAGAGAAATGTTGGAAAAATACTCTTTGAGGCAAGGAACTGATGATGCTCTGGAAAATCCATGTGAGGGGAAAATGCAGAAGACGAAAGAGGAAGCTTTCCTAGTGGCTTGGCTAATTTTATCCTTCCCATAGGCTGAAAGTGATACCACGCTGGACTTACTCTAACAACGCTTTTCTCTATATTTGGCAGTGCAGTAAAAATAGTTCACAATATGTCATGGTTAACATCAGGAATGGGAAATGACAGGTTGACTCAAGCTCTGTGCCATTTCCTTGGGTGAGGGTGAAAGAATAGAATGAGAAGGATAAGCTGTCAGTTCCTACAACCATCACTGACAGCATCTGTGTAGATAGTTGGCCAAAGTCACCCTGCCAGCAGGACAGGCTGGGAAAGAGGACAACTTTCAAGTATGGCTTTGCCAAGCAAATTGCTTCAAAATTACACATTTGCTTAAATACCAAGCATAATTTGTCCTCACTAATAGCCTGATCCAAGCATTTGGACTCAGTCATACAATGCTAAAGACTTGGAGCACTTCCAGTTATGTCGATACAATGTCATTCTGATCATTTGCCAGTGTACAGTTCCCTCCTTTGACCTTGCAGACCTGTGACACAGCACTTTTTGGATTCCCACCTGACATTTCTCAGATCACTGTTTCAGTGGACTAGAGTTCTGGCTGGCTGTAACCTGTTAGTGTTGAAAAGAAAGTGGAAAATTGGTGTTTTTGTGCAATCCAATTTAAGTTTAACATATGAGGAAACATCAACAGAAGCAAAGTGATTTATCACTCGATCGAGTCAGGAGGTGAGGCTGAGGAGCTTGACGCCAAGGGAGGCCCGAAAGGAAAAAACAAGAAATCGGGCCTTCTCGGCGGTGGCTCCTTGCCTCTGGAACAACTTGCCTCCAGAGATTTGTGAGGCCCCATCGCTCGATATTTTTAAGACCCATCTAAATACGTGGATGTTTAAGCAGGCCTTCCCTCCAGACGACACTTAATCTTTCTCTCTTTATCTATTCTTTGTTATCTTTGCCATCTTGAAGAATTTGCTTATTGTTTTTCTTTATTGCTCATTGTTTATTGTTTAATATCTATTGTTTAATGTTCTTGTATATTTTTATTTTTGTGATATGTATATGTTACTACATTTTACCTCTCTGGAAGCTGCCTAGAGTGGTCGTTTTGACCAGATAGGTGGTGTACAAATAGGATAGATAGATAGATAGATAGATAGATAGATAGATAGATAGATAGATAGATAGATAGATAGATAGATAGATAGATAGATAGATAGATAGATAGATAGATAGATAGATAGATAGATAGATAGATTTTAAAAATCCCACAGTTGTTGGCTCCATTGCAGTCTCTGATGTCCCACTTTGGAAAATAGATTATTCTGTTACAATTTATCAAACAAGAAGTTTGTAATTTTGATCTTGTTACAGGAAGGGTACACTATTAGTCTTATTGCTTTTCCATTCAGTGTGAAAAATTGTGGTCAAGGGTTCTAAATACAGCACTTTCATAATATTATTGCTGATCCACTGGATGAAAAAACTGATGGAATACACAAAGTGTTGTACGATTGAAATAGTTGGCCTGCAGGGTCCGGCTTGTTTCTGCTGTGAATGCTGCTTAGAGAGAGGTTTGAGGGTCAGACTAGATTATAACAGATAGCACATGAGACCCTGGAAACCCATTGATGTCCCAGTGATGCAATTTCCTTGTGTTTTATGTCTGAGCAATTAGACTTGCAAATGAAGTTAAAGTTTGCCTCTTGATGGTGAAACACAAAACAAAGTAAGCTGATTTGCATGCTATGGATAGTGAGAAGAATTTGTGCTGTGACAATTGGATGTCTTTCAGCTCTTCAGGAATTTCAGATTCTAACAATGTGCTACTGTAGCTACAATATATTATTTTGACTCCCAGCTTCCAAATGGGGAATTATTGTTGCTAATACAGTACCATGTTTCCCTGAAAATAAGACAGGGTCTTATATTAATTTTCGCTCCAAAAACACATTAGGGTTTATTTTCAGGGGATGTTTTATGTTTTTGATGTACAACCATCTACATTTATTCAAATACAGCCGTGTCATCTTCTTCTGGTTGCTGCACAATGGTGGAGGGCGGGGTTTCACAACTGGGGCTTATTTTAGGGGGTAGGGCTTATATTACGAGCATCCTGCAAAATCATACTAGGGCTTATTTTCAGGTTATTATTTTTGGGGAAACAGGGTAATTAAGGTAAACACTGACCACAAGAGTTGGGTCAGATCATCATTTTGACTATTTGGTTCAGACCAATTTGGAGACTGCCACATTCAATCTGAGAATCCAAATTGGAACCTTGATTTTCTAGATTTGATTGTTTTTGAAGAAGCTTGATCTTATTTGGAGAGCCAAAGGTTCTCCGTCTCTGTCATAATAGGTACAGTTCAGCCAGTCTCTATTGCACGGCTGTGGTGCACCAATGTATGGCTCCAATATAATATAAGGTAGCAGTATGTCCACATCTTAAGTGATGTCATTACAGTTAGGGGGTCCAACAGTACAACATCATAGGGTGGTACTTGTGTGTATTCATATCTATTTCAATCACTCTTACATTTAAATATTTTCTTTCCATGTGCTTACATTGCCTCAATGATTGTTCTTGGACAGATTTGAGCGTATTCATACTAAGAAAGGGAATTACAACAGGTCTCCAAATGGAAACCAAGAAGAGGTAGATGATCTCGCAACCTTGGAAGTATTAGATGAGGTAAGATTTTTTGTTGGTGGTGGTGTTGACAGCAGAAAGCTTGTGACCTTTCACATACTGAGGAACTACAACTCTCATAATCCATGACTAGCAGGCCACATGCACCCCACAGTTGCTTTGAAGTGAGAGAAGAATGCAGGAGACAGTAGCCCATAGTCAGTCATTTCCAAAAGCCAGGGGAAATAACAAGCTTTTAGTAGCTGCCAGTAAGTCAGCAGGTGTGGTGACATATTGTGCGTCTCTTCCCCATGTGGGATTCTGTGATGAAAAATGTCATGTTCTTAATTTGGACATCACATCCATAAAAAAGAGTAGGGGAATAGGGACAGAACCACCCTCCACCATGATTTTTTCACTGGTATTTAATAAGTTTGGTACAAGACAGATTGCTGCTTTTCACATATAGAGTCCTATATAGTTTGGGGCCCCAAGGTATGTGACAGTACTTCATTCCCTGGGAACTGTCCATTCATTAAGATGTGCATCCAAGATCTTGCTTTAGATGCTGCGATCTTTCAGCACTGAGGTTGGTGGCAACTGGAGAAAGGACCTTTTGAGTGCTGGTACTTGTACCAGGTCAAACCATTGGTCCTTTTAGGTTGGTATTACCTTCAACAGTCTTTGCCAGCTTGATAGCACACCAGCTGTGTTGGCCAGTGTCTCACCATCCTTTACTTCACTGAATCCTGAAAGATGAAGACCAAGAGAGGCTGTTCTGTACTGACTAAAGGCAGCACTCAGGGATTTCAAACTGCACTCTTGCCTGGTCTTAGCTGGAGATGCCAGCAATTGAACACGGAACCATTTGCTTCCAAGTCATGTGCCCTGCCATTGAGCTATGGCCTTTCCCATTGGCTGGCACCACCTTCTAATAGCAGATGAAGATGTTTCTGTCCTCTTGCTTCTTAATGGTTTAATGGTTGTTATTTCTGTGCCCTGCCATTGAGCTATGGCCTTTCCCCATTGGCTGGCACCACCTTCTAACAGCAGATGAAGATGTTTCTGTCCTCTTGGTTCTTAATGGTTTAATGGTCGTTATTTCATCATTTATTGCTTCTTAACCTCTTAGTTTGAGTGTTGTGAACTTTTAATTAGCATTTGATGTTTATTTGCTGGTTTAAACTTTTCTATTGTATTGTTTTGTTGGCAGTTATAGAAGCTATAGAAAGTGGCTTAGAAATTGTTGCAATAAAATTAAAATAAACATAGACTCACACATCATATATGTACCTAGACCAGTACTTCCTAACCCGGGGGTCATGACCCCAAGGGAGTTGTGCTTCACCTTATATGTGTTGTAGCCCTTGCTAAATAACTTACTCTTTGACATATGTGTTGTAGCCCTTGTTAAATAACTTACTCTTTTGGAGCTGGTTATTAAAGTTAGCATGTCTGTGTATGTATGAGAAACAGCCCCTTCAGAGGAGAAAGAAACCTTTACTTTCTTTCATGGTGATGACTTTACCCCATTACAAATGCTTTTTATGTAAATATGGCAGAGGGTCACAGCTTACCGGCTATTATAAAAGGAGGTCAAAACTCAAAAAAGTTTGACCTTATCTAGACTCATCTAGACCACTGGTTCTTAACCTTGGGTTACTCAGGAGTTTTGGACTGCAACTCCCAGAAGCTTTCACCACCAGCTGTCCTGACTGGGGCTTCTGGGAGTTGCAGTTCAAAAGCATCCGAGTAACAAAGGTTAAGAACCACTGATCTAGACCTTAGCTGCTTTCCATTTAGATTTTTGAAGTTGTAGCTAAGTTAGTCTGTGCAAGCATTTCAGCAAGAAACACAAAACAAAAAGAAAGCAAAAAAAAAAAGACATAGCAACCTTTGCAAATACAGCCTAAAGATCAATTGCCACTTAGTTTTATGTCAGGACTATGTCATGATTAGTTGATTTCTAGAGTTTGTCATTCTTCCAGTACAACTGTGCCAATATTAATCAATTAATGGTGCAGAAGCTGAACTAATGAATGTGATTAATCTAAACTGTTTGGCCAGGCACCTAATATTTATTTATGCCATGATAAGCCATATGCTAAAAGTTGTTTGTCAAAGGGCAAAAAGCATTAAAAGTAAGAGCAGGTATGGGAGAGAGGAAAGTAGCAGAATTATCTTGCGTATATTTTGCATAGATTTGTCTTGGCAGGTCTACTGTAAAAAGAAGATGGTGAACAGACCCAGCCTTGCAGTTGAGTAGCAAAATCACATTTTTCCCACTCAGCCATAACAGGGTCTCAGCTGCTCTGAAGAGTTGCTCCTGATCCACGCTACTCTCCAGAGCAGGGTACTGTAGCTCTTCACTCAAGGGCCTTGCAGGATCTCTGCAAAAGGCAGTGGTATCCATAACTTGCCCCCTAAGGGACAGGGTCTGCAGCCTGGGGGTGCTCCTGGACCCCAGTCTAACTTTGGAAGCCCAGGTGGACTCGGTGGCCAGAGGCGCCTTCCTTCAGCTGCGGAAATTATACCAGCTGCGGCCCTACCTGGACGAGCGGAGTCTCATGACAGTTACACACGCACTGGTAACATCTCGTATAGATTATTGCAATGCGCTCTACGTGGGGCTGCCTTTGAAGACGGTCCGGCGACTGCAACTGGTCCAGAATCGAGCTGCGCGGCTGGTGAGTGGTGGAGCCACTAGAGATCACATCAAGCTGATTCTGTTCAATTTACATTGGTTACCAGTTGCTGCCCGAGCCCAATTCAAAGTGCTTGTTTTGACATATAAAGCCCTAAACGGCTTGGGCCCTGGATACTTGAAGGACCGCCTCCTTCCATATGAGCCTACCCGGCAGTTAAGATCTAGCCAGGGGGCCCTTTTGAAAGAGCCATCCCTCAAAGAGGTAAGAGGGATGGCTTGTAGACAAAGGGCCTTTTCGGCAGCTGCCCCCAGACTATGGAACGCCCTCCCAACTGAAATCCGTCTGGCGCCGACGTTGATGACATTTCGGCGCCAGGTCAAAACCTTCCTGTTCCAGAAGGCTTTTAATTGAAATAACAACTGTGGGTCCTGATGATGGCAATTTTAATTGTATTTTAATTGTATTATAATTGTATTTTAATCATCTTATTGTATTGAATTTTAATTATTGTAAGCCGCCCAGAGACCTCTGGGTAGAGTGGGCGGCATATAAATAAAATAAATAAATAAATAAATAAA